TCGACCCAAAATTATATCATTTTATTTCCGATGAAATTAAACATCGTGAATCTTTAACTCGTTATGCTTCATATGATTGTTTGTCGATGCAACAATTAATTTTTAAATTAAATATAATGCAGCAACAAGAACTAATTATTACTTCATCAAAGGATATAATTATAACTACATCAAATGGTATAACAGCTATACCATTCGACAATGATCAACATAATTTACCAACAGCACAAACTAATGAAGCAATATCAACTGAAGGCGTACCAAATAATCATACAAATGAATTAGAAATTATATCATCAGATGATGGGGTACCTGGTGAACAACGACACCTAAGACAAGAAATATTAACTAAAGAAGAACGAAAGAAAATACACAATCGTTCATGCACCTTGAAACAACGGAAGAAACATTATCGATATGAAATTATCCGAAGAGGAATTGATCATAGATTTACAATCACAAAAATAAAAAAATATTACATGAATTAAATATAAATTTTTGTGCAATTAATAATTCTACTTCGAAAATGACTAATCGAACATCGTTATACATTGGTATTGAGCATAAAAATTTTTTACGGATATATGAACAAAAAACAGAAGGTTTATTTACGACTAATCATTTCAAACAATTACAGTTTGAATTACAACCAGTCAGATCACCTAATATAGATGATCGTCGTACGATTTATCATACACATAATTATCATACTAAATAACAAGCAAAAGATAAATTTTAAATCAATTCATTATCACATTTACTCACCCACATTTATACCGGTTTCATTTTTGTATTTCATTTCTGTTTTTAGACATATCATCTACAGCGTTCACTATTTTCGTTACATATTGATCGTTGTATATATATGTTTTTTGTTTTGTTTGTTTTCTATGGTTATACTTCTATGTTTTTCTCTCTTTGTTATTTGCCATATTCTATTTGTGTGACTTTACATTTAAAGCTACTTTTTATGAAGCGAAATCACGTCCATGAATAACATGACACTCGTTATATTGCATTTTTTGTTTTGTTTTTGTCCCACGGTTATTTCTAGTGTTTCTACCAATATCAGTCAGATATAAAAATGTTGATAGGGCACATTTTTTGTTCAATATGGGAGTATGTTAGGGCGATGTCGCTCTTCCACGTTATATCAGATGTTATCCTCCATTAAATTAACCATGTGTTCATTTTCTCTCTTTCCCTTTCTCGTTCTCTCTATATAGTGTGTGTTATTGAAAACATAAGGTTCAGATAATAAATATAGAAAACAACGCAGTGCATATTCGATCAGCACGTATATCGTAAAAAGGAAAGAAGAGAGAAACAGATGAATAAACATCTAACAGTGGGTGTGGGAATGAATAAAAGACCCACACCCACACCCACACCCACAGAAACACCACACACGTCCACAGCACATCACACCCAACCACACCCACACCCTAACACCAACTGTTATATTTGTTCCACGCTTGAGAATGACAGAATCTTGCCGGACGCATGATTTTTACGATGAATGGCCACATTTCAACTTTGACTTTTTCTTTCACCAGCACTGCCTTGATCAAACATTCAGGTTCATAACGTGCTTGGCCACAAACACCAACGGGCGCAAAAGTGGCATAGCCTATGCCCATGTAATAATCTGCCAAAGCTCGCGGTACGATAGCAAATATATCGGAAAGTCCATGATTTTTTTCGTCACACAAAGTGAGATTTGTACCCCACGTGTAATTGTAACCTGATGGAATGTCCTCTAAACACTCATAGTATGGATTAATAAGAATACTATCATTTGGTAGTTTATCTGGTGATGGCAGTGATTTAACGAAGTACAGATCTGGTCGACTTCGAACAATGAAATCGTACTTAATACCATTCTGTTCTTCTGCATTTTCAATATGTTTCAAGCAACGCTTCCACTTTGCGTAACCGGCGCGGTCATCAACAGCACCAAAATGCTCTCCTAGAGGAACCCATTCAAGTTTGCGAGGAGAAAGATATTTTAGCGCAGCACTATAGTCTTCTTGCGAGTGATATTCAATTCGGCTTCCGTGGATAAATTCAGTATCATTTCCACATTCAAGAACAACAAAGAGATCGCCACCTAATATATCTAGTGCTTGACGTTTATAAGTAGTGTAGACTTCTTCTTTGTAAAGTGTTCTAGGAGTACCTGTCATACAATGAGCAATATGTACGCTTCGAACTTTCGTCACATTAATTGAATGGTGACGGTGACGGCAGTGGGAATAACTTTTGGATGGATGTAACAGCAATATTAACATGATTGTCTCAGCGATACAGAGTACTTTTAACCAATCTATATGTCTAAAATTATCTTTGAAAAATGTCAATATGGCTAGTTCAAATAGCTTGGACCATTTTGCACAATTCGACTGAGCTATTTTCGAAACATCTTCATAATTCGATAACATTGTTAACTGAAACAGTGCAAAAAGAACCATCCCTAGTGATTCGTCTAGTAAAATCCAAAAGATATGTATGCATAGCGGTTTTCAGTTTTAAGATGCATGGGAAATGAATTCGTCAGCAGAGAACTTTAAGAGTGTTAATTGGATTTCGGTTAAAGAAGAACAAATAAGTTTTACAATTTAAGAGATTTTTTTCTATACACCACGATTTACTTCGGAAAAAAAAGTAACCAGCGTAATAAAATAGAAATTTGATTTGAAATAACCATGAAATAAATACAAAAATTGATTCTCCTGAGAGTTTTATGTTAAATATTCTATGGATGTTCGGAGTTGCATATATGTATATACTCTTTTCTTTCATTCATTGTACAGATAGGATAAGACAATGGCGCACTAGAAGAAGAAAAAAAAAGCTTGTCAGCGCAGCTCCAGAGGAGTTGAACTGTGAAACTCACGTATATCGTTTAAACGTGTTATCTTAATGCCTGTTTTTAAACTGCAAAATAGTCTTTTTTCGAGTATTTATGAAAGCATTGACATGTTGTATGGAATCTAAAGTCGTATATGCGCGGTTGCTGAGGTCTGTAATGGTGACCTGTCTGTAATGGGCGGTATGTATGTAACGTTCTCTTTTCCGTTGTTATGTGTCTGTAATGGAGTGGGAGTGAGGGAAGTCATGAAACCACGAAATGAAAACTTACACTCACTATTTTCTTCGAAAACATTCATGAGTTTCACAAAAACAACAAGGAAAAGAATTACGAAAAAAATGCATGTATATATCGAACATCAATAGTATTTGTAATAACAAGCTCTGAAGAAGATCAAAAATATATCGAAATATTGCATAAACATTTTAATTTTAATTTTTTTAATTTTTTACTATATTAGCTAAATTACTTGTATTGTTTTGAGTAACTTAAAGTTCTTTATCATGAACTACTATATACGAAGAGAATCTCTTAAAACGGTGCTCATTTGAAAAATCACTACAAAGTGTAAAGTATTAGCTGAATACCACTAGTATAATGCATTGATCAATTCCGTATGAACCATTGGTAGTTGCGACTGTTGAATTACGTTTCGTTTGTCGTTCTCCGTTTTAGACATATAACGTACGAAAAAATGAGTATGCAAGAAGTAATATCAAAAAAGGTCCACTTAAAATATGAAGTTGTTCAAAACAACGCTTTTATTACAATTATTTTTTCGAATTTTTTTCAATAATGTTCTCGCTTAAATGTGCAAAATTCAACAGCGCATAATTCTTTTTACTTTTATTAGATTTTTTTTATTCATGTAGAATGAAAAAATTGAAATTTCATCAATAAAATCAATTCTATTACTAGTATAGAGAAATGTAAAAATCGATTAGAAAACTACGATTTAGAATCATCAAAGAAAAAAGTCAGCGATTTATTGTTTCAGCTCACGATTGTTGTTTCGATAGATCGCAATTAATTGTCAAAATATTTTGGTAATTTCAAAACAAGTTGAATTTGATTAAATCTAGCTCTAGTCAAATCTAAACAATTGATTTTGACGTATATTTGAAAGTTCTGGAACACTAGTCTTTCTCGCGAACTTCTACCGAAGTAGTGGATTTAAGACGAGTGTGTTGCTAGTGCGAGGGTGCGTATAATGGTGTTGTGGGCAAGATAGGTAAGCATAGCCGTGGAACACTATGTCGTTCAGTGTAAATATTAAAAAGAAAAACAATACTTCTCTCAACGAAGTAAATGCAAACAAAATTTATTGCATTCAATTTTCTTACCGACAGCGTCAAGAATATATATAGCGAATTATTTTATCGTTTGTACCACATGTTGTGCAAGAAAAAAGAAATGAAATTGTTTATAGGAGAAGTTTTCATTCAACAAGAGAGAAGCAAAAAGAGTGTCTTGATTTTGAAGGCCATTCTTTTCTTTTATTGCAAAGTAAATCA